GGATCCCGTTTCATACAGGCACCGATGCAATCACTGGAACGTTTTTCGGTCTGGCACGTGTCTTCTCGGAAAACGGTGTTTGTACAGTCTTTAGGCTTCCAGAGCACACCCATATATATCACAAGACCATATATAAAATGCATGTCCGACTTTTCCTGATTAATGTACATCGGCATGCCTTTTGAAATCCAAGCTAGAAATTGTGTAAGAAAGTAAGATGAGCAAGAAAACTCGCGTTTTGTGCTTTCCATTATAGCGCCATCTAGCGGTTCACCGCTTCCTCTCCTCTCATGCATTGTAGGTGAAAACTGTTTGTTTAGATGTTTTCTATCACTTTTTAAATTTTGCCCGTTAGTTTCGAAACACCCTGTGTATTTATAATGAAAAAAAAAAGTTTTGTGCTGTAAAAAGTTCTTTTAAGATGACTACGTTTACGAAAAACTAAATTGCTTCTGATTGTGAATGTCGTTCTTGGGGAGATTTCACGTGCATTATAGACGCACAGTTTATAAGATGTTTTTTGAAAACATACTTATCTCTTCCTCGGATTTGCAAGGGTCGACAGGAGCGTACCGGACACCGCAAGAGCCGCGATGCTTTTACGAACTCACCATCCCTATCTCCGGATGATTCGATTCCAGGAACACGAGTTCTTACAAAGAAAGGATAACTCTTCCCCGGGTTTCCCGTCGACGTCTCCAAGTTCGGTTGCCTTACCGCATTTTGGAGCCGAAGCTCCAATCTCCGTGTCCAGGTTGGGGAATATTCGGCTTTAAATTTTTTTTCAAATATTAAAATACATAAAAATAGCAATTTTGTCACAGTAAAATGTGGAATTTAAACGCCATAAGAACTCATACAGCCCAAGCCTTTATGGCTACCTTCACTATTTTTACTGAAGAAATTGTTGTTGTTGGGACTAATTTCGCTTGTGTGATATCTGAGCAAGTCCACCAAATTCATCGTGGCAAGGATGGAAGATTCAACCCCTCCTAGCAGAAGACACTCTTTCTGTTAGGAGGTATTTGGAAGATTGCGCCTGTCGTGGCAAGAGCCTTGGACACCATTAGAGGTCATAGTAGGACTTTGCTCAGTCTGCCCCCAATTTTGAAGGAGAGCACCCCGGAGGGACAGGCCCGAAGGTCTCCAACTCCTCTTTCGCTACTTCCCTACTACCGAGGGGAATTTCGGCTCGCCGCATGATTTGAGCGCATCCATGCCGCATACACATTTACAAACATCCATACCTTCTCTGAGATTCGAACCCGAGCCCTTCGGTCTGGCAGCCAGCGTCGCTAACAACTATCCCGGTTAGGCAACATTGAAGGGAGTAAAATTCTTCATTTGAGGTTCAGTATTAGAGCCGCCCAGACGGAAAAGTGATTGCTGACTCTGTTCTACCGAAGGGCCCAAGCTCCAATGTCGGAGAAGGCATGGATATAATTCGTTCCTTTCTTCATAGGATGCAACGATGACCCACCTATTAGATGCTACTGGAATTAAAATAGTTCAGTATTAGATTTTTGCTGTACTGTTTGCTTTCAGTCACTCCCAAAATATTAAATTTATTTTAACCTGCAAATACAGCCGAATTCCGAAAATTCTCAGCTTATTAAATACAGGTCTTGGAGAATTATAACCACGCTTTTCTATTCGCTTTACTAAGAAATGGATTTTTGGGACTTTGCGGCCATAAAAATTATATTTTCTCCATATATTTCTAATAAGGTCTACATTACGGTATCCGGACATAATCCCGACAGCCGAAATCCCGACAAGCCAGAATCCCGACAGACGGAATCCCGACAAACCAAAATCCCGACAGGGTCGAAATCCCAACAAACCAAAATCCCGACAGGGTCGAAATCCCAACAAGCCAAAATCCCGACAGGGTCGAAATCCCGATTGTCCAATATCCCGACAGGGTCAAAATATCGACACGGGCGAAATCCCAATAAGGCCTAATGACCCCTTAACATACTTCCACAGCTGCAACTAGTATATGCTTAGCAAATCTGAAGAAAATTAGAAAAGATTATTCCAAGATTTAATTGATTTCGCTGAAGAAAATAATATTGAACTGAGGCCATCCAGAATCATTAGTGATCTAGAAAAGGCAGCTATAAATGCTCCGCGCACTCAAAATGCTGTCGAGGATTGGCACAGAAGATGGGAGACCTTAATTGGACGGGCCATGTTGGCGTTTATAACATCATAGAAGGATTTCAAAAAGAACAGGAGCATGTGGAATACCAAGTTGAATGCATTCTTCGCGGAGAACAACAACCAAAACGTAGGAAGGTAGATGATGACCGAGAAAGGAGAATTATGACTGTTGCGGACGATCGTGATAATCGACCTGTGATGGAACATTTTCGTGCTATTGCTCACAATGGGTCGCTGTAAATATGTCTTTTGCATGTGTAAGTGATGTTTTCTTTTTCTTAATAAAAAGAATTTTATAAATCTTCATTTCAAATTTTAACGGTCATTTCAATTTGTTAAAAATTATTTAAGTAATGACATAATTTTTATGATTTTTTGATTTAAACTTTTAATTAGTAATATGTAATAGTTAGTTAAAAATTGTATTTTATTAAGCTAAATTGAGTGTTTGTATTTAGATATTAACTTGTCGGGATTTTGGACAGTCGGGATTTCGACCCTATCGGGATTCTGGACACTCGGGATTCTGGCTTGTCGGGATTTTGACCGTGTCGGGACTTTGGGTTGTCGGGATTTCGGCCCTGTCGGGGTGGGATTCTGGCTGTCGGGATTATGACCCAGACCCCTACATTACTAGATTTGTAAAACATTCGTTGAGCATTTAATGTCAATATGATTTCACTGGTTTTAGAATTAAAAAATTCAGTAGTTCAGCTATTTTCTTCTCAGATTTTTCACGATTCCAAAGAAAAATTGCAAGCTTGCTTGCATCAAAAGAAATCACAATTTCTTCGACATCCGCTAAAAAGTATCTCCTAAACCGTGCGATTTCCAAGTTTAAAACCTTTCTTCCAGGTGTTCTACAAGAAAAACCTGGTATAATTAGCTCTTCATAGCATTTTAAATCCATTTTAGCCTTTTTATAGCATTTGTAACAATGCTCCAATAACGTTGTTAGTCCAGAATGGCAGTTTGCCCAGAAAGGCTCTTAATTTCGTTTTTGGCATTTTGCGTCAATTCATTATAAACGGCGAATCACTTTTTAAATTGTTGCCACCAAATATGTAGATCCCTGTATGATATTTAAAGAAATTAAATAATGAAGAATCTATATAAATGCATTTACGTTTCTCACGTTGTGGTAAAACAACGGAATTTGGTTGTGGTAAAACAACGTCTCCACCCGAATATGGACATCTGGAAGCCCAAATCTGAAAATCGGAATTTGTTTTATTATCTATTAGTTCATATTTTGTAAAGCACTTATGAGTTTTTGGTTAAGAAATTCAACGGTGTCAAAGTGAGCAATAGCAAAGAACTGTACGAAAGAAAAAAAAAATTGTCTACAACGCGTAAGACTGCATGTCGGAAATTCTTAAAATATACTGTTTTAAATATTTTGTGATACTGCTGGTGAATTGAATTTTATGGTTTAAGTGCGAAGAACATGATATTTAGTAAATAAAGGTAACACACAAAACGTTAAAAAAACGCCCCTTTGCGGGTAATATAAAATCTGAAAGCTTAATTTCATATTTAAAAGCAAGGTACTTAAAATAGCTCATTTATTCATTAGGCTTATTTAAAATTATTCCCCGTAATAGATTTCGCATGGTATTTAAATACAGAAAGCAGTGAAAAATATTTAGTTCTGGAATAATGGCTCGAAATGTTTGAAAATTTGTTTGAGCCACTGATTGTAGTTCGTTAAAAAATTCCACAACGTTTAAATATCTAACAATTGCAGAAGCTATCTAAGTTCTTTGAAACCTTTTAAAAAGAATAAAATTTGCTCTATGATTATTTTGAGTTGTAAACATATTTGGTGAATCTTCGGATTATGGTAACTTTGCGATTTTTTGGCGAAACTTTGGCGACCAACCCTGCTACAGCAACCTGCTAGCTCTTTTTAGACGCCATTTTGTTTTCACGAAGTAAAAGCATTTTTTTTTTTTTTTTTTTTTTTTTTTTTTTTTTTTTTTTTACTCAACATTTTTTCCAACAATCTGCTAGCCGAATTAAGCTTTTGCTAGAACTTTTATGGAACAAAAGTGCTTAATCATGACGAAGATTAGGTGCGAAATTGGGAGAAAGTGCAGAATCGTCCACTGCTTCGCGCGTTTTTAAAAATTACACATACGCGGTTTCCATGTACACGCCGACCTATTTTCACTTAAAAAACATCCCAGAATTGCACAAAAATGGCATTGCGCACACTCTTGACTTTATCCATCTACTCATCGACCTATTTTCACTTAAAAAGTCAAAGAAAATTGAAAAAAATCCAATTCTTCTTACTCTTGTAAAAAGCGCCAAACAAATAAGTGGGCGATTCTGCACTTTAGCAGCGAAATTGCTTCTAAGTGCTTATTAGCTAAAATAACGATCGGAATTTTCCGGAAAATGTCACATGACATATCTCATGATCTCTCATTTCTCTGAGACAAAATAATATATGATTCGAACTGTGTATTCTCACATTATTGCTAAAGGCCTACCTAGTAACCTTTATCGCCTTACCAAAATGTCGCCAAACTACCTGTTACCATATTCCGCATATTTACAGACAGTTTAGTGATATATTGCTAGTACACTCAGTAAGATATTATAAGCTGAAATGAAATTTTTATGAGATTAAAATAATGCAAAAGCTAAGAAAATTCCCTAGAAGTATTAAGCTTATATTATGCTAAACTGAGATTGAACGTAGGTCAGATTGCAAGTTTAGACTCATTTTCTTCCCAGTGCAGTTTTAGAATTAGTATTACTTAATAAACTGATGCAAATAACATATGACATGATATGCAAATAATATTTTAAAAATTCTTTTAAAGCTGCTTGTGCATCGAGATGTGCTTTGACGTCTCACATTCCTTTGGACTTGAGGAAGGAATTTGAAGAAGAACTGTTCCAAGGATTTCTAAAATACAATGGAAGAAATACCGATGGCCTTCCTGAGTTGCAATATCTTACTCTCACTATTCTAATTCGGAAACATTTAACAGTGAAAAGCTCATAATAAAAATGCGATGTAAATGTACAATTCCGTAAAGGAAATTTCAATTCTGTTGTTTGATATCTAGTTATTATACATTATCTTACTGCCTGGATTTATTCATTTATTCCACGATAAATAATTGAAATAAAAACTTAACACGTGTTTATTGATATTCTAAACATTAAATATTCTTTAAAAAAATTGCCTGCAGCACAGTGCGGCTAAGAACGCTATTCTACTGAAACATAAACATGAACAACTGTTGCCATTCACACAAATTCAATAGTAAAATAAAGCATGTTGCCAGTAACAAGATTATTGTAGAAATCACAACATAAAATTAAACAGTGAGAAAATAAATAAGGCAAAGAAAAAAAAAAAGAAATGCAAATATTAAATATAAATCCAACAATAATTTTATTTTAAAGGATGTTGTAATAGAAACAAAAAGGCTGAAATTATAAAAATTATATTTTGTAAAAATATGTTAAATATGAGACTGCTTTAATTCTTAGGGATCATTCAGAGAAATATTAATATGGAAAACCAAAATTTCGATTACAAAACTTATTTCCATGTTTCACACATACTGATTAATTAATATCCCATACGAGATTTTCTTTAGAGTGACGAATTCAAACATCTTGAAAAGAACTTCTTTTTTAATGTATTTTTCCAAGCACTAAAGTTCTAATTATCAAATTAAGACTGTAGGATTCCTCACCCTTTTTGTCTAAGATGAACCCCGAGGAATCTAGTGAACTGTTTAGTGGCTTATCGTTGAGTTCAAATAACAAATAACTCAAGCAGGGTTAAATTACCCTTTATTTCACTCACATAAGAATAACAGTTGGCTACTTTCTCGGTCTTACAACAAAGCCTCCACTCTGCTTTAACTCATAATAAGAAATAAAAATGTAAACTATAACTAACTAAAGGATACTTAGCCGAGGGTAAACACAAGTATCAAACGTAGTTGGCCCTTAATTTAAACTAGCCGGGGAATATCAAAAGGCACGTAATAATACGGCCAAGCGTGACAGCTTCAAGTGAGACTTAGCCCGAATGGCAAACACGCGTTGCTCAGAATTCCTACCTCTCTCTCACGAAGTAAGTTGAACCTTCCTTAAATACTTATTCTAACTTATTTACATTCAACGCGAGTCTAAAAACGCATTCTGGTAGGCAGCTGTAAGTAGAAACAAGAATTGATAGGAAAGGAAATGGATTTTAAAATTAAAATAACTGTTATAAAATTAGATTTAAGACGATTGTTCTTTACGATACAGAAATGTGGTCGCAACCAATGACAAAAAGAAAAGAAAGACTACTACAATCGATTCAACGTCCAAATTTCTCCTCCGCATCACCTAATGTTATCGAACAACTTCAAATGCAGCTCTCTGCGTCCTTTCTGGGATTCCTCCCCTCAATATTACAGCACAGTGCGGGCATATTAAAGGCACTATATTAAAATTAAAAAAAAACCGTGCACTATACAAGAAGAAATACTTTGTCCAACAAAATTTGAAACTCCTGGAAACCCTTATAGCAAGCACCCAGCTACCAATCCCAGAATCTCTTGTACATTAAAACCACCCCCTCAGAACTTATCTTACTATACATAAAAGCGGCCGAGCGGTAAAGTCGTTGAACACTGGTAGCTCGGTCCGAGGTTCGAATCCCATGAACGGGCTGCCTGCATGGTTTGTTTCGTGGTTTTACCCATGTGTAACGTGTATACGAGCCAGTTACCCTTAAAAAGTCCTCCTCGAAGCCATCGTTCCCTATAGGCGAACAGTCCTCGATTGCCATAATCAAATAAACCAAACCACCCCACCAAATATTGATGATAAATTCTGAATCACCCTGCATAATAACTGCCTCATTCACTTCTGTCTTAACAATATTATAAACACACCTGGAATTTTTAGGACACAATTTCCAAATCTAAGCATTCAACGATTCATTTGGATTCTGTGTATGTGCTCATAAAAACTTGTTTAGTAATAATGGCATGCTAACCGTCTAAGCGGCAAGGTCGTATATATACGGCCTAGAATACTTTTTGTGATATCTGTAAGAACGTATATATACGTGCATATTAAAATATGTCAAAGAAATTAAGGAAATATATCAAAAGAAAACAAATTCAGGTATGAAATACCAGGAGAGTTTTTATATTAAAATCAAAAAATAATTTGTTCTCATAGTAAATTTGGGAAATTTATGCTTTCTTAGCGAAAACCCTGGCCGCTCAGAGGGCTAATATCTCTAAATGTATCTTTGATAGCATACATTACAGATGGTGGAATGGAATTTTTGATGTTTGTAAGATTTCAGATTTCCACTCGCACTCGCTCTTTGTTATGTACACCATGAACCCTCTCCTGTTGGGCAAAAATTGTGAGTAGGTTCCACCTCGGTTGAATATTTGTGGTAAAATATTGCACATACTGTTTTTTGCATATCTTTTACAGAACTGCGAGTTTTCTAGTAGCATTGAATTGTCAATTGGTTTATAATATCATATGTAACGCGACCTTCTCCACTGAGAGTTTTACTGTCACTAAGTTTCTTCCCCTTCCTTTCTTGCTTTCTCTTTCGTAATCTAGTGTCCATCCTTTTACGAATGTGTCTGACACATTCAATTTTACCAATATACATGATACTAACAGTAAAAATTAAAGCAATCTATGAGTGAACATTCGTAAGCAGCTGCGCGTACAAATGTAAACAAACGTCACGTGACAATTTAAATGTTCGATTTGGCAATATTTACCTCAGAATCGTTTTCTTTAGTTCATAATATTTAAGATTCTAATTCGAATATCGCAACGCCGTTTGTTTTAACAGACTCGGAAATGTTTGCAGTTTCTAAAAATGCAATATATATATATATATATGTGTGTGTGTGTGTGTGTGATGCACCAGCTTTAGTCGTAGCTTAAATAATCAGACACGATAAGTTGAAAAAACAGAATCCATTTATTATTATTCAGGAGAAAATAGCAGTTACAAAAATCAGATATTCGGAGTAAATAAAAAAGAATTACTAATAACTTTTTGTATGAAGTTTACTGCATCGTGACATTAAAAAAAAGCCCCGATATTCTTTTGCGAGTCCTTTTATAGCCTCTGGAAAGGCGGAGCTTCCAAGAAATGACGTCAGCCTCGTCAGCCAATCCAGTTCGCTTTAAATATCTCCAGAACATTCTAAAACTGTACGTGTAGAAAAGGCGGGAAAAACAACTTGACTACGGGGCTGTAGAATTAACTCCACGTACTTTCAAATAAGAGACCGTCGCCATTAAAAATGAAAAGAACATACAGTTAGAATTTTAAGTGTATTCTTGACTATGGAATTTTATTATTACATACATATACAGGGGTTGGACAAAAATATGGAAACACCTTTAAAAAACATGTTTCTTTGCTTAATATGGTGTAGGAAACCCGTTGGCATCCAAAACAGCTTGCAGTCTTCTCGGAATGAATAAAGACAGTTCCTGTATGTTTGCCAAGGGAATATTATACCATTCTTCCTGCAAAACGGTGGCAAGTTCAGATAACGAGAACGCACTTTCCATTCCAATGTAGACCACAAAGGTTCGATAATATTCAGGTCTGGTGACTGTGGTGGCCAGGGGAGATGGAACAACTTATCCTCGTGCTCAGAAAACCAGTCCTGGACAATGTGAGCTGTGTGAACATGGGCTTTGCCGTCTTGGAAGACACCATCACCATCGGGGAACAAAGTTTGTACCATGGGATGGACTTGATCGGCCAAAATGTTCACATAAGTCTTGGCAGTCATGTGCACTGACACAGTTATCATGGGGCTAGCAGAGAACCACGATATGGCTGCCCAAACCATAACAGAACCCCCGCCATGTTTCACTCTTGGCAACAAGCAGTCTGTAATATAGGCTTGAGATGGCGTTCTCCAGAGTAAACTCGGCCAGAAGTGGGAAACAATGTGAAAGAAGACTCGTCAGACAATATTACTCGCTTCCACTGCTCCATAGTCCAGGCTTTATGACTTAAACACCACTTTTTCCTGTTACGGGCATTAGCATCACTGATGAGTGGCTTCTCGATTGCAGCACGGCCAGCGATTCCCTGTTTATGAAGCTCCCTTCTAATTGTTTTGGTACTCACAGGGTTCGGTAACACAACATTCATTTCAGCAGTAACTTTTTCAGCTGTGGTCTTCTTATTTTTCGTCACAATTGCCCTTAATGATCGTCTGTCACGATCACTCAGGACACACTTTCGTCCGCGCTGTGATTTAGCAGATGATGTTTTTCCGCTTTTCAAATATGCGGAATAAATCTTCGATACAGTACCTCTTGAAACACTAAACACCTCGGCTACCTTGCTTACGGAAGCACCAACCATACGTGCTCCAACAATTTGCCCACGTTCAAAGTCTGTTGACTCTGACATAATGCAATGACAACCTCACATAACAGTACTCCGACAACAACTGAACTGTTTAGCACATTTACGAAGTTGTATAGGTGGCGTCAGTAGTCAAAACGCCACGCGCCAGCGCCACCCCATATTTCATTAAAATCAATCTTTCTTTTCAGACATGCATTTCACAAGGTGTTTCCATATTTTTTGTCCATCCACTGTATATATATATATATATATAATTCAATTTTTTGAATGTGTAAAGGTGATGATTTCCCTTAACAATGATTATCCGTTTATTTCTGCAACTATTAAAATGTGTAATGTTTTTAAAGGCAAGGATGTTTACTTAGAAAAATGTTATTTATATCGTTACTTAATTATTATTTTTCTTTAAAAAGTAATGTTATTTTACCTACATAATATTACATACGTAAGTTCTATTATGCTTTGAATTTATTTGATTACTACTGTATTAACACAACATGTCGAGATCATCAAGCATATCATCACTATAAAACTGACTCCTTTAATCAATCTCAAATCAATCCAAGTGTGCAATTTCATACATTATCACCATTTACTTTACGTACAATATGAATGGAACAAAATAATAATCCAATTATATCAGGCTCATATGATGGAGGACAAATAAAAATTCAAAATGCCTATGGTAAAGTCATCACTCTTTTAAAAAGTGATAACGAACATAAGATATATCTACCCAAAGAACTATACAATAAAATA